GCAAATTGGTTCCAAAATAGTTGTAACTACTAAGAGATTTTTCTTTCTAGTTGCGTTGCATTTTGATGCCTGTAATTCTTCCCTATAGTCACTATCCATTCTAACTACTACTAGGTTTTTGTATCACCATATAATATAATCAATTCGCACCACAACAAAGCTATAATTCTCTTTGAAAAAACTATTTGTCCATAGATTCTTGATTGGTTCAAATCACAGATTTGAGATTTAATTTGTTATTCAATATTTGTTAGTCTTAACCTACTCTCTTAAGTTGATTATTTCAAAATTTTATTTTGTTCAGCAGCTTAGATTCAAATACCTCCACCTTCATCAAGAAACGTGAGTATTGGAACATGTCATACATCATACACTCTCGTTTCGACTATAGGCCCTAGTTTAGCTAGTGATCCTATGGACAAAGGATAGCTTGTTTAATGAACCTAGTTCTCCTAGTTAAATATAACTTGTGTTGAAATATGGGTGTGTATATATATATATGTGCGCGCTATACAGGGGCGGCTGTAAAGGCTTAAAAAAAGTCTTTTGCCTTAGGCCCCCAATTTTAGGGGGCCTCATTTTTTAGTTAATTAGGTAGGATTAAATTAAAAATAATAATATTAGAACTAAGACAATAAATGCAAAGGCCCCATTTTTTAGATAATTAGGAAGGATTAAATTAATATTTTTTTTGCTAGAACCAAGACAATAAATGCAAAACGGCTCAATGAAGTGATAGTATGATATACTCCTTCCGTTTCATAAGGAATGACCTGGTTTGACTTGGCACGGAGTTTAAGTAAATAAATAAGACTTTTGAATCTTGTGGTCCTAAATTAAAGTTATGTCAAATGTACAAAATTGCCCTTAATCTTGTGGTCTTAAACATGCCACGTGGAAAACAAAAAGTAAAATGTTACCAAAAAAGAAAAGAGGTCATTCTTTTTGAAACTGACTAAAAAGGAAAGGAGGTCATTCTTTGTGAAACGGAGGGAGTATCAAATTTTATAAATTGCCCAAAATTTTAATCCACATATCCCAACTAATGCGGTACTCTATTCATTTTGGGATATCTCACGGTGTATGATACAATTACTAATAGAGCAACATAAAGAAATAGGAGGACAAAAATTACAAGAATAATGTTACAATTATTAGTATGAAAAAAAACAACTAAAACAACATTCAACAACTATCTATTAGTCTTTTGCCATTATTTGTGTCCTAAAATAGCCTTATATCTAAGGTCACATTTTTAGAGGTGTTTGAATTGGTTTAAAAGTTGATAAATCTATTTTTAAGTCAGTTTTTGACTTATGGAAGTGTTTGACAAATATAAAAAATCACTTAAAATAAGTAAACAGCGACTTAAAATTAGTTGAGAAATGTTTGGCAAGGTCAAGAATGACTTAAAATAAGTCAAAAACCAAAAGTAGGTCTCCCCCAACTTTTTATTTTTTGACTTAAAAATCATTTCAGTTTGACTTTTTATTTTTGATTTAAAAACTAATTTTTTTAAGCCAATCCGAACGGGCCCTTAGTAAGCTGGAGTATTCTCATATTTTGTCTAATCACAATTCTTTAGTACTTTTTGGACGTACATCCACCTCTCTTGAAACCATCTATAGACATTAGATACCCTCTCACACTTTCGCACCGAGACATTCGTGCATCTCCTCTCCATGTACTAGAACAATCTCAAACTCATTTATGTCACTTTCATTGGATATCCTAATTTTAATCATATTTCGCTAGTAAGCCCACACATCAATCTCGACATCTTTCTTTCCGTAATCTTCATTATCTAAATATAAGAGTCCTATACGAATCAACACTTTATCTCATATAACATAATTGGTCTAACCCACTCTGTAAAATTTGTCTTAGTTTCAAGATTTTTTTTTTCCTACTATGTTTCAAACTCCACAAATAAGAGATGCTTTATTTAAATTAGAAGAAGTTAGTGATGATCCAAAAATTAAAAGTGAAGCTAATTGTTTAGCAATTTTTGAGCTTGAAAATTTTGAATTTTTATTGGGTATGACTATTTGGTATGATGTACTATTTGCTGTAAATTCAATTAGCAAAAGTTTACAATCAAAAGATATGCATATTGATGTCGCTATAGATCAATTAAGAGGTTTAGTTTCTTTTTTTAAAACATATAGAGAAGAAGGATTTACAAGTGCTATGATTTCGGCTAAGGAAATTGCATTAGAGATGAATATTGAACTTGTATTTCGTAAGAAACGTGTAATTTATAGAAAAAAACAATTTGATGAGAATGTTGATAATGAAATCACAAGATCTCTTGAAGAATCATTTAGAGTTGATTACTTCTTATACATAGTAGACCAAGCCATCTTTTCACTTCAAAATAGATTTGAACAATTTGAAGTATATGAAAATATTTTTGGTTTTCTATTTAGTGGGAAAAAATTGAGATCATTAGATGATGAGAATTTGAAAAAATATTGTCTTAAACTTGAATGTTCCTTAAAACATAATACTCACTCCGATATTGACGGTTTAGACTTATTTTCTGAATTAAGAGTGTTAAGGGAAATCATAAAAGTAGAAGACAATACTCTAATTGAGATACTCAATCAAATAAAAAGACTTGATTCTTTTCCAAATGCGTACATTGCTTATAGAATAATGTTAATAATTCCTGTAACAGTCGCCTCAGCCGAAAGAAGTTTTTCAAAATTAAAAATAATAAAATATTATTTAAGATCGATAATGTCTCAAGAAAGATTAAGTGGTTTGGCTATATTATCGATTGAAAAAGAATTATTAGAAGAGATTGACTACACAAAAATTATTAACAACTTTGCATCTCAAAAAGCTATAAAAATAGATTTAAAATAAAAACATTTATAAATTTTTTTTAAGGCCTCTAGTTTGATTTTGGCCTTAGGCCACCAACGGGTTTGAGCCGCCCCTGGTGCTATACTCTTTGTTTTTCTATAATAACCAACATTCATACAGAATGCCTTCTATTAGCTCATGTTTGTGTTTATTGTGCAACATTAAGCAGTCATACTGTTTCAGATCTATCTAAAAAATAAGAGCACTAGGGGCAGCTTTAAGCTCACAGTTCCCTTTCTATAGAAAATGTGATTTTTATGCCGTCGTTCCAACCTTATGTCATTCTACATAATTAAACTTTAACTATTGGTTTGGCAAAGTGGGCTGAATATTATACATTAACTTCAATCTTTTGCTTCAACTAATATATGTTATAAATTTCAGTATCCAGAAGTCTTGGACTCACTCTATTGCCTTTGGAATAAAATACAGCTCTTTTTTAGATCCATATCTTTCAAGGGGCAAAGAAATTGATAGCACATTCAGGTTGTCTTTTAATACATGTTTCAATCTTGTTCTCTTCTTTTTGTACTTTGTCCTTATGTTCTTTGATTCAAAATCGAATTCATATGTTGATCCTCGACTTAAAGATACATAGAGTTTACTCTAATTACCTCAGATTATTTTTCAGCTAGTTTAGAGGTGTTACTCTGAAGATTTCAAGATTCTCTTTAAGTTCAAATACAATTATTTATTATCCTTCTTCGTCTCTGTGAGATCATTTAAAACCCTCAACCTCTTTTTTTCTCTAACCAGTTACCACTAAGAAGCAACAACAACAAAACACCACTAGGCAGCTCGACAAACTGCCTCTCAACATGTGGAATCACCTCAATGTAGTTGTCAACTTGTCATATGCCTCCCT